ATATATATATAATGAAAATTATACGAAAAATAATTTATTATAAGGTAAGATTTTCTTATAATAATTTTTTTTTTCGATATATAATTTTATAAATAAAATAATAAGAAAACAATAAATTATAAGTTAAGACATTTTTGAAAAAAATTTTTTTTTTTATTTATAAAAATACAAATAATTTTTAATATAACCCTCCAACATCAATAAGGACATTTTAAAATAGACAGAGGACGAAATAAATATGTGGATATTCCTGATGTGTATAAATTCGTACCAGTTGTTACAACAACCTTAACATCCTTTGGCAGGCTCTCAACCTAATTAAAAAGATTGGCAGAGCCTTAAAGAACTAAATCGGGTAACCCAAAAGAAGACGTCTACTTACGTCAACGCATAGGAATTCCGATTATAAAATCTAATTTCACATGCTTCATGGGTTCATTCCCCCGAGGAGCCCGATTAATCTAGATTTTCTTCTTCTTCCCTTAATTATTTAGAATTTTTTTTCTTCCTCCTCTTTTTTCCCATATAATCATTTGCATTAATTATAAATGTAATAAGTTATATATAATTATAATAATTTTGTGATTAATTTAATCCATTACAAATGTATATTTAGAACCATTTAGTTTTGTTTAAATTAAATATAATGTAATTATTTATGATATTTATTTACGAATAGATTACAACTCATTTGTATTAATTTATATTTTTTTAAATACAGTACAAGAATTATTAAAAACTTTTATATATCACATAAAATTTAATTATTTATAAAATATATAAACTTAAAATACTTTAAAATTGTATTCAACAATTAAAATATAAAAATCAAAAAATAATTGTAATTACTAGCACATTAACAAAAATGACAATTTCGAACACAAATAATTAAAATATTGGAAAATGCAAAATATTTAAGAGCGAATATAATATTGTTTAAAAAATACTTTATAGCTATATAAACCAGTATAATTTTTAAATAAAAAATCCCCTTAATCATCAGTAGAGATTGAATCGATAAAACAAACAAAATTAGCTTTAAGAATGGCAAATGCACTCCTCAGCCTTAAGTAAAAGTCTTCACGAGGCTCCCCAGAATTTTTCATGATCTGGCAGTCAAATTTTATTTATTTATTTAACAATTGATTTTTAAAATTTTGATCAGATAAACAAGAGCGCTTGATACTAAACGCAGCTTTCGCCATAATAATAAACACATGTTCAATTGGCGCGGAGGATAGAAGGTTGTATTGTATTTTATAAATAAAGTTTTTAATTTGAGGGGCTTTATTAACTTAAAGAATAATCTAAATTTTGAAAAAGCTTATTTTATCTTCAAAGGAATCTTCATTCTATCTACCAAAAAATAATCTGCATGTGTGTTGTATTTTAAAGGAATCAAGTCTGCTTTTTCTTTGTTGAGATCTTTTCTCTAACAGGAAATAAGTTCAAGCTTCCTTCCTTTTTTGACATTTAATTTTACCAGGACCAATCTGATTTAAATAGCGGGTAAACTATTGCTGACAATATATATTTATCTTTATAGATGTATTCGCATCTATTGAAATAAGATATTATAAATTGTAAACAATATTTCAACAGTATATCTTTTATCTGTGTCTTGCAGGATTGCATTAATAAGTGGCTTATTAAATTATTTAAAACCATTTTTCTTAAATATTATGTTATCGTGGGATGAATACATTTTTCTTCTCTCTCTCTAAAATCGACATAGGAACAGGTTTATTAACTTATAAAATCATATATATTATAAATATTTATCTATGAAAGTCTTGTCATTATCTGAAAATCTTTGTAATTTTTATATTCGTAAAATTTATGACCATCTTAATTAGAAATCTATTAATTTCAAGGAGTTATAGAAAGAGTTCCATCAGATATCTTCCCATTTTTCCTTAAAAATGGCTGCACAGTTTGGAGGAATCCCATGGTTATTCCACAATTGAGGCTAAAATATTTGAGTTGGGACACAATTTACACTTATAAAGTGTAAAGTTTGTACCCATAGTTTTCTTTATTGGTGTATAAAATGTTTCATATTGGAGTCAAGGCAGGCTCACCTCATCTTCATCTGAAAATGGCGACAATAATATTGTTTATAAAATAAATTATAAGATTAGAGAATAAGAATATAAATTAAAATACATTGATTGATTCATTAATAAGATTAAAATTCTTGATTGAAAATTTAAGGTGGTTCATGTGTATTTAAAACTCTGCTTCAATTATTTATAAAATTTAAAATAAAAAAAGTAATTTTATAAATATTTTTTAAGAAAAATTTAAAGTAACGAGTAACGTTTTGTGTTATCGTTACTCAGAAAAAAATTAATCAAAATGATATTTTTTGTAAGGCTCGTTTAAAACGCGTTATCTTCAGGCGTTGCGCTATTTAACGCAAAGTTATTACAAAATAAAATCCTTAAATAGGTATAAATATGAAGCGTTATGTTGATAACGCTTAGATAAAATTTGAAAAACATGTTGCGATGCATGATAAGAAAAAATATGTGGTACGATTATCAAAATAATAGGGAATTCATATCTCTATTTTAGCAATAGTTTTTAAAACTAAAATCAGCTGCAATAACGCTGCGTTAAATAACGCGTTTACTATCAATTTATGGTTTGCCATCTTTGCCTTAGAACGCTCCGAGATGCCTTTAGTCTAATAATATAAAAAGCATATATAGGTAAATTGATAATGTTGTAAAAGTATAACTTTGACGGGTAACTAAGATATAAACCTGGTGCTATAGTACACACTCTGATTCCATTATCGCTAAAATCTCTGGCTAAAGGTATGGTCATTCCAGCTACCGCTGCTTTGCTGGCTGCAAATGCTACTTGTCCACTTTGGCCATTATAATCAAGGGCGGCAGAGGCAGATGTCATTATAACTACGCCCTTTTCTTCTACTATTTTGGCATCAGTATTTTCCATTTTTTCCGTATTTGTCTCTTTAGCTTCGTGATGAATGCCTATATATAAATCGAAGTTAATTAAATAAAAAATTTGAATACCGTTATCCGAAATTTGTTGACTAAAATGTCGGTTTATATTTGTCATAAGATTAGAACTGGGCTGAGGTTTTTTGTTGTAATTTTGTTTATAAATTATTTGCGGATTGATGGGTTGAAAATCTTTAGATGCATTATTAGTGTGTGATAAGTTAATACTCTGAGATTTATTTTGAGCCATTAGCCCTACAGCTAACCTAGTCACGTTAAATGTTCCGAGGGTATTTACCTAATTTATTCCAAAAAAAATCATATTAAATGTAAATTATATCAATAAAATAAATTATTTATATAAGATTAATATGAATATATTTAAATATAATTTATATTAGATAAAAAAATTTCTAAAATTGGAATACTTGACATTCTTGATGACATAAATTAAATTTTAAATTGAGACAATTAATCTTAGAGTATGATTTTCATTTTTTTGAGACACGTTAATAATATTTTTTTTAAAAAAAACATGAAATTTTAATTTTAAAGAATAATTTGATTATAAAAACTTTTAAAAAAAGGGTCAAGTTTTAACATTAATTTGCTATGTAATAACTTTTTTTTAAAATTATATTCAATCAACCCAATCATTGCAAAATTTAATTATAAATTCTCATAAATATTTGATTGATTATGATCAAACATAGAAGATCAATTTTCTTGTGAAAGATATTATCATAAAGTTTCTTAATTTGGATTACGAAACCATAGTGAACAAATAAATGAGACAATTTGCAAAATGGTATTTATGACAACCTAACTATATATTTGTGTGTTCAGTGTTGTTACTTGTGACACCTTATCAATTATTATACTAATTAAAATTATTTTTTTGCTATATCTTTTTATATTTTTATGAAACATAGAGTTTTGAAAAAATAAATAAATTATAACATTTAAATTGTTTAACAATACCCAGAGACCTGCAGGCCCGGCCCTAAACCCGGCCCAGCCCGTATTTTAAATGTTTTAAATATACCCGGGCCGGGCCTAAAAAATTTTTTTTAAACATATCCGGGCCGGGCCTAAGATTGTTAAACCCGGGCCGGGCCTTAATATTTTTTATAAAAATTTTTACATTATGAGTTAATGGTTATAAAATTATATTATATTATAGTTATGATTAATATAATATTGGGTGATGGTTAACACTACCTAACACCCACAGATCGCTCTAATTATTAATTTCCTGCAAATTTATTCAAAGTATTCATATATTTTTTTATAATTCATATCTAAATTTTTACAACATATTTTACCAAAACAATCAAATAAAGGAATATTTTAAATACGCCCCAATATTCAAGTATTATTAATATATTTTTTTATAATTCATATCTAAATTTTTAGAATATATTTTACCAAAACAATCAAATAAAGGAATATCACTTCTTGAAGTTTGTAATACCTTTCATAGCGAAAAAGGAGAAATAAAATTGATTTTACTTAATATAAAGCATTTTTTAATTGAAAAATTTGTTTTACACAAGTATCATTTTATTTCTCTTTTTCTCTGTCCCAAATTCAAGCAATTACGTATGTTGTCAGGGACAGATCGCAAGATGATGGAAAACTATATAAAAGATTATATTAAATTACAAGAGGCTCAGGAAGTAAATAAAATACCATCGACCAGTCAAATTACGACTGTTGTTAAACAAACTGAATCGTTTTATGACAAATGGGGCGATGGTAATTCTGGTAATATGTCAATACCCGATGATGAATATTATAATTACATAAATAAAAAAATAGATGAAACATTTAAGGTGGATAATTTGTTAGAGTGGTGGGCGGCTCATCAAAGCGAATTTCCAATTTTAGCAAAATTGGCAAAACGGGTATTGGCAATTCCTGCTTCAAGTGCAAGCTGTGAGCGGAATTTTTCCACTACATAATTTTAAAAAATTCCGAGCCGGGCCTGAAATTTTTTTTAAAAAAAATATCCGGGCCGGGCCTTATATTTTTAAATCTGGGCCGGGCCGTAAAAATTTTTTTTAAAAAATACCTGGGCCGGGCCTAAAAAATTTACAACCGAGCTAGGCCGGGCCATGCAAATGATACCTCTGCAGGTCTCTGACAATACCTTTAAACATAAGTATAGATAAATGATATAAAAATATTATTTAAAAAATTTGAAGAATATTATTTTTCTTTGAAAGTTATTTACTTTTAATTTTTTTTGGGTATAAACAGTAATCTTATGTCGTTTGTGTATTGTTTTCACACCATGTTCAAAAATATCACATATTGCAAATTTGCGAATCAAAAATAATAATTTTTTTATAATATATATATATATATATATATAATTAAGCATTTAAATGTGAACATGATAATTAAGTATGGTAATAAAAATATTTTATAAGCCATGGTCAAAGAAAGCTTTAAATGTAACTTATTTTTTAATTGAGAGATTTGGGAGATAAAATTAACAATTTAAATATTTTTTCATATAGTTAAAACAGTGGTTCTTAAATATATAGCTTAAATTATTAGACAAATAATGTGGAAATAAAAAATTCTTTATAATATAAATGTGTTAAAATTTTGAAATCATCCTGAAATAAGTATTAAAACTCAAAATGATATCCAATGTGATAAAAATGTTCAAGTTGAAAATTTAATCTCAAAAATTAAAACCCCAGCAAAGTATTTGACAAAATTTATAAAAAGTATAAAACAAACCAGTAAATATAAATAAATATACAAAATATTGTATATTTTCCAATATATTCAAAGTTAATAAAAATAAAACATGTGTCAATCATAAAAATAAATAAATAATATATTAAGTTATTGAATATCAAAAACAATATAAGATTAAATTAAATATCCTTTAAATACAACAAAAATGAGTTAATAATTATATTATAATTAGAAAATCTTACCATTAAAACTTTTTCAAAATCTTCTAAACTATGAGCCACATTTTTATGGAAATTATATGTTTTGTATGCAACTGAAATTCCAGCACAATTAATTAATGCATTTAATTGATTAAACTCCTTTTTAATTAAATCAAGAGTTTGATTAATATCATCTACATTTCTAACCTATAATAAAATATTTACAAGTTTTTATTATAAGTTATAACATCTCCTGGAGCAAATAAACAATTTTTTCCTAGTTCACTTGCAACTTGTTTTCCTTTAGATGTGGGTAAATCAAATATTACTACACCTTTACAGCCTTGTTTTATTAAATACTCTGCAGTTGATTTTCCCAAGCCTGAACTACCGCCTGTTATTAGAGCTACAACATTCTAAAAAAATAAATAAGAAAGTATATATTATAAGGAAGACCTTTAAATTTGAAAGCATGTTTTTTTTTTAAATAAGAGCCGATCTTACAAGGGATTTTGATAAAAATAAATTTACCAGTCGTCGACAAATAATCATCTAAAAAGTTTAAATTTGATTTGGTCAGACGAAAGATTGGAGATAGCTATCAAACAATTTGTAATTTTCTAGCCTCTCTTCCCATTCACAAGGCCTATTTCTTAATATAAAAAATCTACTTTAACATCCCTAAATCTCAATACCTTATAATATGTTGCTATTCTCAAATTTATCGTTAACATATAATAAACTTGTTGAAAATAATAGATATATAGATAAAATTGACTGTCGATGTTTTATGACCTCTCATATCTTCAAGTCTTATTATTAACTTCCAAAGGAATCATGCATTTACGATTTTTTGATCTCGTCTGTGCTTGCAAGAATTTCTATCCTTCATGCCTATTCCACTTCTCTATTTTTGTAATTATAAAAACTAATAGATTAAAAAAACTCTTATAAAATTTATCAGATAATATTGGGAGTATTGCCGCTGATGGCAAATAATTTGCTATGATAGTCTTTTGATCTTTTTATTCTTTAAAAATAAAGGAATAACATAAAAATTTACTAATTATAAAAGTAAATGGTCTTTACAATTTCTTTAACCGTAATAAATATAATTAATCTGATCGAAATCAATATATATATATCTGTTAAAATAAATCATTTTATCAAATACAATAAAATGGAAACTACAACATCTATGCTATTTGTTATCTATTATCTCTATGACGGATCACATATTTACCTGACACTCCTCTCCACACTTTAACCAAACTAATAGTTCATGATTATAGGCACCATTGATTATCTTTGCACTAATCTAATTTCATTATTATTTGGCTGTTCTGAAAAAGGATTCCGAACATTAAAATGTCTTTGGTAGAAACTCAATAGCAAGGAATTCAGATTTTTGCTTTACTTTTGAACATTAATTCAAACATGTAACATAAATTTAGAAAATGCCATAAACTTACCGATTCGTAAACATTACCTTCAATGAATCAAAATTGGGTTTCAGCTTTTCAGGCACAATCTATAGCTTATAAAGTTAGCTTTAGGTTCTTCTTGATAACCTCCCAAAATAGAACTCTCTAATATATTCAAGATAAAGAATGGAGTCACTAGGCTATACTGGAAAGATTGAAAGTTCTTATTATTTTTGCATCGACCCGCTGGTTCCATCAAACTTAAACAAATATCTAACAGTCACACAAAGATTGAAATGTGGCAAATACATTTACATACCGAAATATTAATTTGCTCCTGTCATTAGACCACACGCGCAGAACCTCTACCCAAAGCCTAACAAAAAAAACTGGGATCCAAAAGATGTTTTTAACTTTCGTCAAAAATTACAATCCAGCTCATCATATTGAACTATTTATGTCTTGTTAACTCTTTTTTATTTGATTTCTTTTTATTTTATCCCCCCCCCCTTACCCACCTTTTTTCTAAAACTTTTTTTTAAAAAAAAATCAGTTTAAGTTAGCAATACGCGAAAATAGTGCATTTATATTATATAGCATCCTATACACATATAAACAAAAAAATTAAAATTTTTATTATATTATGTTAAATTTGAGGATATTTATGTTTTTGTTTGTTTCATTAATCTAATATATTAGTCATTTCTTTATTCTATTCTATTATATTATAAAATAAATTATTAGTGAATTACTTTCTAAATGAACACCTTAATGTGTATAAATTCATTCAATTTATATGGAATATTCTAGGTCAAATTCCCAGAGGTCATAACATCCATTTAAATCACAAAATGGTAAATTTGATAAATTATTTAACAATGAAAAAATAACAATTTACCTTAAGAATTTAAAGTAAAATAAAAGAGAAAGTACCTATATGATCCTTTGGGGAATAATATAATAAAATTGAAACAAATAAATACTTAAATGCAACAAATAGGAAGAAAGTATATCATTGGATAAAACAGATTCTTAACATATTACATTCTTAGATTTGTTATATTTAAAATATAATAATGGTGCACAGTACTAATAGATGTTGAATGATGAATAACTTTTTAATATATGTGTTGAAATTGAATTTATATTCACTTTTATTATTTGATTATCATTTATCATAATAATAAAATTTAAATTATGATTAATAATAAATGATAATCAAATAATAAAAATGGATATAAATTCAATTTCAACATGGAGGCCAATCTATGTCCGAACTCTGCGTAAGTATTATCTCAAAATTTGATCTTGATTTTGTAATGTACATTTATTCTATTTCACGCCTTTATCGATTATAATTCTCTTAGATGGATGCTTTAAACAATTTAAAATATATGACTGAATTTGTCAAGCTGGATTCCCCAAATTTAGCAGCGATGACAGCGCCTACATAGGGAAATTGCAGAATTTCTTCAACACCAGCAAGATCTCCAACGGAGAAAAGGCCGCTTTAAGTCTTCCTGATGAAGAATTCAATAATATTGGGGCAAGCACTGAGGAATCGCCCTGCTTGGCAAATTCAAGTTACAGCATCCATCGAAGATCGAGAAAACTATCATTATTTTATGCTGCAACTCAAGGCAAGGAGGAGACGTTCTCGTCTTGGGTCACGCGTGTAGCAATACTCAATAAAGAATGTAAATTTAATGGCTTAAAGAATTATTGAGAAAGTGAGAGTATCTTCGTATTTCAAAGATGTAAGGAAAGCGGAGAGGTCTATGACCGTAGAAGACATTTACAATCCAGGTCTAGAGGAAGACACCGCGGACCCAAGTGGCATCAAAGGCGAGATGAAATTGTTACATTTGGAATCACCTGGTGTACAAGAGGTTAATCACATGGGCAGAGTCAAAAATAGTTACGTAATAACAAAACCCATTCAGGACTCTCACGCACATGGTAAATCTCTGATAGTTCATCAATGACAATCGCCGCGCACAGCATTTCGATGAACGTTACGATTTACGCTGCGACTATTGCCGTGACAAACGATTTGATGAACGTTACGATATACGCTACGACAACAACCGGTCGACTTAACTGACTAAATTGGTCAATAGCCTATCAAATAGGTCGACTTGTCCGACAAAATTAATTGTTTAATTTTACTGGTCGTTCGCAATCGGAAATCGATTTTTCGACCAAAATCTTGACCTGATTGGTGTTTTAGTCGATTAAAATTGTTATCTGTATAAAAATAAAAATTGCTTTATCATGGCTATATGTATTTTGATGTGTAGGTAACGGAATTAACTTAAATAACTTATTTATAATTTTAAAATTAATGAAATTTAAATATAAGAAGGGTCTAAAAGATTCTTGCATGTAATACGAGTTAATATAAAACTGAATTGGCATCGTATCTTATATTTCAACAAATATAAAATCGAAAATACAATTTAATTATTTACCCGCAAGTCGAATAACAATGTGAAATTTTGTATAATTTTGTTAGCTAATCTAATGACATATAATATTATTATATGTCCTTGAGCTAATCTGAATTTTTTTATATAAAAAACAAAATATTTTTTCAAATGTATTTTTTTTAGAAAAATATAAGAAAAACTTCTATAAATAGATAAATTCTAAACAAGACCATAAATGTATTTTTATTTATTTGAAAAAGCCACCAATTTTTTATTATAAATGGAAATATAAAAATATAAACATACATCTTTATTTGAATTTTTTTAAATTAATAATTTATACATATAATTAATGCAGTCCAGACTGCTAAATTTTCCATTTACAATTTTTAATGTATATTTTTTTATATCATAATGTCATAGAGTAACAAAATATGAAAGATTTCTTTTTAAATTATAAGAAATTATTACACTGAAGTAAAAATAACTAAATATTGCTAATATTTATTTCTTAGTACTATTGATTCTAAATTATTATTTTTTATATGATTAAAATTTGAAAAAATATATAGAGGGCTTATTTTAAAAAATGAATTTCTTGTTTTATAACTATGGTTATAGTTAGATATAACATTTAAAAAGAAGAAAACATTTTGTTAAACATTTTTATTTTAAAAATTTTATAATTAATTTCTAGATATATGATGAAATTAAAATAAAAGATAAATATATTTAACAAAGCATGTTTCTTCATATTTTGCTAAATTTTAAATTATATTTTCAAATTATATTAGCTTTAATTATTTATCTGCTTTGAAGACCTAGAGCAATTTCAAATAATTTGGCTAATAAATCATTCACTCATACCCAAATATTAAAAAATTCATAATACCCCCCAATAACATATTCCAATAATTATGGATAAAAATTAACAGCAAACAAAAGCTAATTTATTTTATTTCAATTAAGATTCATACTATGAAATAAAGTTCCTTTTATTAGCTAGAAGTTGATACCCAAATAGAAATAAATAGAAATATTTAGCCCCACCTCCATATTCCCTTACACCTGTCTCTCCCCATGACTCTAGATTGATGGTTAATTTTTTTCAATTTAACTCAAAAAATCTTTTTATTAGCTTATATTTTAATACAGATTAAGTTATAGAACCTAGAAATCTTTTTATTAAAAGATTTTACACATCGACTCTTATGATGACAAAAATATTCGGAATCCAAAAATTTTCAGTTGAGATCGGAATCTATCATACTTTCGATCCGCATCTCAATCATTAGTGCTCGGACCTTTTATTAGCAGAGGCATCCCCGAGGAAGTTTCTGGCTGGTACTAGTTGGTTGCCTATGTGTTAGGTATCTTAGAAACCATGTATTTGGATTCCTTGATTCGTCCTGCCTCTTATTAGTTGGCTCTGGAGGGTATCGGGCCTGCCCATTATACTCCCGCCAGTCTGAACAATGGTCGGTAAGGATAGGGGCGGGGTTTCGAAAAGGCTTATTATTTTTCTTAATACTGGCTGCAAGAACGTTGGTAAATATTGAAATCGACTTTTATTTAACTTAAATATCGCTAAAAGTTTGAAAGGTAGAATTTCGTTTTTTAAATTTCCTAATCTCCTGATGAGGCCA